GGAAGAGGACATTTTGAATAGATGGAGGTAAGTCAATAGATACACATATGAAAAAATGATCCTTGACTCCCTAATTTTAGGACTGTATAAATGTAACTACTCCTTAACTGTTAAGGAGTTGAAATTACATTCGGCCCTTTGAAGGCAACCGTGAGGCTGATGTGGCCCCCAATGAAAATGAGTTCAACACCATTACCCTAGCACATCATAAAAAAATTAGAAATAATCACAGATATAAGTGTGAAAATTGATATTATGAAGTTTCTGGATGAAAACATAGGAGGATATTCCTATGACCTGGTGTTGGCCAATAATTATTAAATACAAGGTAAAAAGAATAGTCATAGAATAAATAGTTGATTAATTGGACACCATCAAAATTAAAAACTGTTGTTCATCTAAAGCCATTATTAAGAATGTTAACAGGCAACCCAGACTAAAGAATGCTTTTTGCAATTCATATCCAATTGGCCTATCAATATTCCACAAGTCACTCATCATCACTATTCATGGGATGTCAAATAAAACAAAATAGAAAAAGGAGAATACAATTAACAAAATTGCAAACAACAAAGACTGAGAATGCCAAATGTTGATGAGGATAGGGAACAACTGCAACTCTCATACACTGCTAGTGGAAAAAAAATATTATAACCATTTAAGTAAGCAATTTACCAGATTTCTATAAGTTTAAATGGGCACTTACTATATAAATCAGCATTTCACCATGAAAAATATGCACATGAAAACATATGTCAACAAAACATGTTTTTCTTTAGAGCAGATTTATTCATAATAGTTACAAGCTAGAGACAATGCTCACTACCAGGTTAAAATTTTAACTTTTAGAATACTAGATAGCTTTAAAAATTATGAACTAAATCACATATGAATCTACCTGAATGAATCTCAAAAATAGAATGTTGAAGCAAAGATCCCAGGCACAAAAAATATAAGCTACTGGATGATTCCTTTCATGTTAAGGTCAAGACAACAAAATAATGAAGTAGAGGGTGATGGCTAAAAAAAGCATAAGGGAACTTTCTGACCTGGGCGAGGGTACATAGGAGTTTAGAAGTACAAATTTATATATTTTTATATAATCATAAACATTTTTCTTTCTTTTTAAAAATGTATTGGGTTGACACTCGATTAAAAGATTACATGGGTTTCAAATGTAGCATTTCTATGATACATGGTCTTCATGTTGCATTGAGTGCCCACCACCCAATGTCAAATCATGTTCTCTCACCATGTGTTTGGCCCTCTTTGTCCCTTACTACCCCTTGCACCCCTCTTCCCTCTGGTAACCTCCATACTATTGACTGTGTCTATGAGTTTTTGTTTGTTTGTTTTATTTTTTTGCTTTCAGTTTTATATCCACATATGAGTGAAGTCATATGGTTAACTTTTTCTGTCTGAATTATTTTGTTTAGCATGAAATCCTCCAGGTCCATCCACTTTGTATCAAGTGGGAGTATTCAATCTTTTCTTGTGGTCAAGTAGTATTCCATTGTATATACGTACCCCATCTTCTTTATTCTATCATGGGATCAGTTGCGCTTGTAATTGTGGGGAAGGGGGGTGTTATGATTTTTTAAAAATGTTTTAGTTTCTTCATAGGAAAAGAGTATTAGTGCTGCTTGCTTCATCTTAGGGCACTTTGCTATACTTTTATGAATTTAACTATTTTGTTTAAGTAACAATTATAAGTATATACTTTTGATATTTTATTTATTCCTTTATATAGCTCTCATTTCTAATATTACAGAGTTTTCCTCTTCTTTCCATTTTCCTTAGCCTACCTCATCAAAACATCTGTCCTATAATTTTTTTCAGAAATCAACTTCTGACACTGTGAATCCAGGCTGTTTTAGCTTAATTTTCTCTTCCATTAATTCTACATCTTAAGTTTAGTTACATCTTTAACTTTTTTAAGATTATATTTAATTTTAACTTCTAATTTTAAGACTTTTTTGCTTATTTAAGTATTTGTAATAATAAACCATTCCTTACATTAAGAGCATGGCTCAAATTTTGGTTTGTAACTTTTTCATTTTTGACCATTATTCATTATTTAATATCCTTTACAATTAATGATTTCTCCTTTAACCCATGACTTATGTACAAGTGTATTTTTAAATTACCAAAAACATTTTTCAGTCTTTTTGATAAATTTTAAATTAATTAAATTGTTACCAGATAACAAGTTCTGTACTGTTTGATTTTTAATTTTTTTACTTGCTCTTGTCAGTTTTATTGAATGACCTGTACATTCTTGAGAAGCATGTGCATTATTTACTGTAGGGACAGAGATGAATTAAGCAGGATTAGAAAAGCTGAATGTTCCTGACTCAGTTAAAACAAGGGCTCTGAAATTTATAATGTAGTGTTTAGGGTTCGAAACTCCCTGGCCAAAGTTAACTTACTTAGTGTATTCCTACCTAGATAGACTAGGCTTGCTTGACTTCTTAGAGTCACAGAATGTTTTTTAAGGAATTCTGCCAAAGCCAAGATTCCTCCCATAGGTCTTGTTATTTCAAATGATTGAGGAACAGAGACTGGGTTCATGGGTACCTGACTGCTGATGTTCTTCAATCCTGATATTTGTCTCAGTTTTCATTCTCTTGCTACATCAAATGCTTCACCATTAAAACATCTCCTGTGTGGAGTCTACTGAGTCCTAACAAATACCAGAAAGGGGAAAACAGTGTATTCACTCTGGGGGTCACTTCTATGAATATATAGTCATTGAATAAAATGTTTATTCTTGTTCAAATTGTCTTTATATCTTTATGATGTTTCCTCCAACATTTGAAAATAACATTTTTTCTCTGAGTTTTTTTAATGTTTATTTTTCAGTTACTGTTGCTATTTAATATTATATTAGTTTTGGGTATACAGCACAGCGATTACACATTTATAGGAAATGAGTCCCTGGATAAGTCTAGTACCCACCTGGCAACATTATGGACTGTATTCCTTATGCTGCACTTTATATACCCATGACTTTGTTGTAACTACCAATTTGTACTTCTTCATCCCTCCACCTTTTTTACCCAGCCTCCCTCCAGCTTCCTCATATCTGGCAACCATCAGTTTATTCTCTGAATCAATGAGTCTCTTTGTGTTTTCATTTATTTTGTTTCTTCATTTATTTCTTCATTTCTTTTGCTCTTTAGACTCCACATATAAGTGAAATCATGTAGTATTTATCTGTGTAGCATTATTTACAATAGCAAAGATATGAAAGCAACATAAATTTCCATTAATAGATGAATGGAGAAAGATGACTTAGGAGATTATACCTAAGTGCACTGTGTCATTGTGGCATTCTTTTGAGTTGATAATAATGAGTTAATAATAATAAGCCTACTTTTGCCCATCCCTGTGTAGACAATGGAATATTACTTGGCCATAAAGGAGAATGAAATCTGACTGTTTGCAACCACATGGATGGACCTCGAGGGTACAATGCTAAGAAAAAAACATTTTATGGATTCACTATGAAAATAGATTTGAAATTTCTCCCTCAGTACTGTCGGTGTTTATTTTACATGTGTTGAGGTCATTTCATGAAATTCATGCAAATTTAGAATTGTTATATGTTCCTAGTGAACTGAATGTTTTAAGAAATAAGGTTTACCCCTCACAATGTTGTGTGTGTTGAGTGTGTGTAGTGTGTTAGAGGGAACTAAATACTTTCTGTTTTTTTTCTGCTATTATTATGGATACCTCTATTTCCTTTTCATTCACATCTTCCCAGGATATGTCTTACTCTCTTAAATATTTAACTTGTGGATATTTATAGTTTTGACATAATAGTTTCTATAAACACATAATCACTGGATTTTGGCTGGTGCCATAAAGTGAGACAGTCAGACGGACCATACAGTCTATAAAACCTGCCTCAGTGCCCAGTAGTTTTTCAGTTGACAATTCACTGTTCCTTCCCGACCCTGCGACTGAGGTTCCAATCTTTGGAATCCTCTCAGATCACTGAGTATCTTTATAATTTCATAATGAGCATATATCACTTGAGAAATGAAAACAATCAAAACACTTGCTCTCATTCAGAAAAAAAAAATGACTCTTAAACACAGTAACAAGAACACAAATTTCACAAAGGGATATTCATGAATTAACTTAGGTTATGTAGTCCAGTAAAAATAAAACACTCATTTAAAAAAAAAAAGTGATTTCTTAGTTACATGTGTTTCTGAAGCATCGCCATCATTGGTGTTGGTCCCAAGCTTCTGTGGCACTGTAATTTGCAGATGTGACATTTCAGAGTCTGCAGTAAGGAAAACATGCGTGAGTATTCCCAACACACACTCACACAAACACACACACAAACACAAACACACACTTTCTGTGATTCCAGGAAGAGGGTCCCCTCATGTGACAGGACACTTGGGACGCTGACAGCAACCCCACCTGGGTGAAGAAGTGCGGACCTGGACCCCATCCAGGCTCTCTCTGTCCCCTCCGCCCCTGAAGCAGGGCACCCTCTCCTGGCAGTGCTGCATCAGGTAAGTGAGGGACAACTGTTCCAGGTCTTCTCTGAGCCCTCCGAGCCTTGGGCGCCACAGGACCCTGAAACTAGGCAGGCTGTGACAGCAACCTAGGCGATCCCACACCTGGTCCAAGTTCTGGAGCGAGGAGGGCCATACTCTGGTCCTGGCGGCCCTCCTATGTCCCCAACTTACAATGGCCTGTGGATGTCAGCTGGCCCAAATCTGAGAGGATGAGCAAGAGAAAGAGCATTATGAGGCAGGTGGGCCGCCCCACAGAGAGGACGGTTGGTGGTGTACCCGCTGCTTCTCGAGGGCTTGGAGGCCAGGGTGGGGCAGGGCAGGAGCAGTGGGGGTCAAGGCAGCTCACCCGCCCATGCCAGTGGCCCCGCCCACTGCAGCCAGCCCCCACGTGCCAGAGAACACAGGAGCATGCCTTCTGCCACAGGCTTTCTTTTTCTGAAGCTGACATTTAAATAGCCTTACAGGGTCACCAGAGGCTGTAAAACCACTCTCTTCTAGAAGCAGGCTCTTGTAGATGAAGTTCTTGGCAACTGTAAGAGTCCACATCATATCTTTCTGGTACAAGGGCTGAACTATTCCAGGGAAGAAAAAGAACGATAGAAATTAATGGAATATTTAGTTGCAAGCAATTGTTTCTTTTAACCACATCTATTGCCAGATTACTATGTAAATCTCAGGTATAAACAAATACACATACACCCATGAACATAAAGAGATGTTGTAAAAAACTAAATGTAAATCAATTAATTGCACATAAATTTGTTTCTTAGCTAAATCTTTGGTTACACAAACTAAATGGAGAGCTCAATATGAAATGTGTGTATGTATTTGTTTTAATCTCCCAGTATGTAGTTACAATTTAAGTATCAGGGAGAAAAAAAACACAAGTATGAAGTGATCCTGTAAATACAACTTTATATTCTTATTAATTATTCTATGTGGATAATTTAGTTTCTGTGGCTGAGCAGACTAAGTAAAAGATATACACATTTTTTCCCCACCAGTGTGGAGTTCACGCGTGGAAAGGCAATGTAATTAACTTGGAAAGAGCTTTCATTTGATGGCTTAATAAGCAGGTTAGTGAAGCATAATTTTAATTTTGCAATGATATTTTTTATTTTTGTTCAAGTACAGTTGTCTGCATTTTCCCCCTACCATTCCCCCCAACCCTAGCCATTCCCACCTCTATCCCCTGATTCCACCCCACCCCATTGGTTATGTCCATGTGCCCTTTATAGCTGCCCCTGAAATCCCTTCCCCCCTGCCCCCCATTATCCCTTCCCACTTCCCTTCTGTTACTGTCAGATTATTCTTAATTTCAATGTCTCAGGTTATATTTTGCTTGCTTGTTTGTTTTGTAGATTAGGTTCCATTTAAAGGTGAGATCATATGGTATTTGCCTTTTACCACCTAGCTTATTTCACTTACCATAATGCTCTCCAGATCCATCCATGCTGCCACAAAGGGTAGGAGGTACTTCTTTCTTCTGCTGCCTAGTATTCCATAATATAAATGTACCATAGCTTTTCAATCCACTCATTTGCTGATGGGCACTTAGGTTGCTTCCAGCACTTAGCTATTGTAAATTATGCTGCTATGAACATTGGAGTGCATAGGTTCTAATGGATTGATGTTTCAGGGTTCTTAGGATATAATCCCAGCTGTGGAATTGCCAGGTCAAAAGGCATTTTTAGTTTTCTGAGAAAATTCCATACTGTTTTCCATAGTGGTCGTACCAGTCTGCAATCCCACCAACAGTGCACTAGGGTTCCCTTTTCTCCACAACCTCTCCAACACTTGTTGTTTGTTGCTTTGTTGATGCTGGCTATTCTCACTGGTGTGAAGTGGTATCTCATTGTGTTTTTAATTTGCATTTCTCTGATAGTGATACTGAGCATCTTTTCATGTGTCTCTGGATCCTCTGTATGTCCTGCTTGGAGAAGTGTCTGTTCAAGTCCTTTGCTCATTTTTTAATTGGGTTGCTTGTTTCTTAGAGTGGAGTTGTGTGAGTTCTTTATATATTTTGGACATCAAACCCATGTATGAGGTATCATTAGCAAATATGTTTTCCCATACAGTTGGTTCTCTTTTCATTTTAACAGTTTTCTTTAGCCATGCAGAAGCTTTTTATTTTGATGAAATCCCATGTGTTTATTCTTTCCTTTGCATTCCTTGCTCTAGGGCACATATCAGTGAAAATATTGCTATGTGAAATATCTGAGATTTTCCTTCCTATGTTCTCCTCTAGGACTTCAATGGTGTCACAACTTATATTTAAACATTTTATCCACCTTAAATTTATTTTTGTGTGTGATGGAAGTTGGTGCTCAAGTTTCATTTTTTTCCATGTAGCTGTCCAGGTCTCCCAACACCAATTGTTGAAGAGGCTATTTTTACTGCATTTTATGCTGCTGTCCCCTTTGTTGAATATTAATTGACCATAGAGACTTGGGTTTATTTCTGGGCTCTCTGTTCTGTTCCATTGGTCTATGTTCTTATGCCAGTACCAGGCTGTTTTGATTACAGCGGCCTTGTAATACAGTTTGATATCAGGTATTGTGATCCCTTGTGGGGGGGGCTCTTCCCACAGGGACCCCCCAGCCACCACAGATGAGAATAAGTCTACCAAGACACAATCTGCTTGGGGAGGAAAGCTGGCTGACCTCTCAAAGGAGAAGGGCCAAGAGCCTTTTCCTCAATGGGCTTTTATTGATTTCTTTTTGCACAAGAATACAGGTGAAGCTCATTAATCATTGTCAGGCAGTAAAGATCAAATAATAGATAACATACAAAGAACTCTGAGGGCTTATTCTGAGTAAGGGTCTGTTAACTAAAGGGCTACAAAACTTTGGGGAACAAACTCACTTCTTGCTTGGACCTTATCACTTAATTGAGAGCATTCTAAACAAAGCAGGTTTCACAGGATTTTACATATTCTTTCTTAGGTCTGATCACCCTAGGGAACCCACCCTTTCCACAACAGGGCGACACCCACCACCAGCATTGTTTCAGGCTTAAGGCATTGTTTTAGGCTTAAGTCAGGCAGGGGAAGTAAAGAAGCCAAGAGATTAGGACATGCCTTGCAGACAGAATGAGGACTCAGGCTACTTCAAAGCCAAGGGGCTAGAGTCCATCACCCCCTTTTGCTATAGCCCCCCAAGTCCTTCCCCGGGGCTTCCCCATGATTGTGCCTGTCTTAGGTCATTCCCCCCTTAGGGAATCTTACCCATCATTGACTAACAGATCAAGCATTGGGAGCCAGGCAGGGAGAGGAAAAAGGAGCAGAAGCAGTGCCCCTGCCAGGGAGATAAGATTTGTCTCCTTATTGGTTTATGGTCCAAAGATCTCTCACTCAGCCTTAGCTGTGGGGGGTTACAGCTTCTGAAACCAGGCAGGGTGGTTCCCAACAATCCCTCATATTTTGTTCTTCTTTCTCAAAATTGCTGCAGCTATCTGGGGTCATTTATGGCTCCATAAAAATTTTTGAAATATTTGCTCTACATCTGTGAAATATGCCATTTGTACTTCAGTAGGGATTGTGTTAAATCTATAAATTGCTTTGGGTAGTATGGACCGTTTGATGATGTTAATTCTTCTAATCCATGAACATGGCACATGCTTTCATTTGATTGTGTCTTCCTTAATTTCTTTCTTTGGTGTTGTGTAGTTTTCTGAGTACAGGTCTTTTACCTCCTTGGTTAGGTTTATTCCTAGGTATTTTATTTTTCTTGTTGTTATAACAACTGGGATTTTTTTCCTGATTTCTGTTTCTGATATTTCATTGTTGGTGTACAAATATGCCTTTGATTTCTGAATATTGACTTTGTATCCCACTGTCTTGCCAAATTCACTTATTAAGTTGAGTAGTTTCTTATGGCATCTATAGGATTTTCTATGTACACTATCATGTCATCTTCAAACAGTGACAGTTTTACTTACTCCTTTACAATTTGGATGCCTTTCATTTCCTCCTCTTGTCTGATTGCTGTGGCTAGGATTCCAATACTATGTTGAATAGGAGTGGAAAAGCAGACACTCTTCTCTTGTTCCTGATCTTAGTGGGAAAGCTTTTAGTTTTTGCCCATTGAATCTGATGTTGGCTGTAGTCTCTCATATATGGCCTTTATTATATGGAGGAATGCTCTCTCTATTCCTGCTCTGCTAAGTGTTTTTATTATAAATGGGTGCTGCACCTTATCAAATGATTTTTCTGCATCTATTGATATGATCATGTGATTTTTGTCTTTCCTTTTGTTTATGTGATATATGTCATTTATTGATATGCTAATATTGTGTCATCCTTGTATCCCTGGGATGAATCCCACTTGATCATGGTGTATGATGTTTTTAATGTATTGCTGGATGCAGTTTGCCAATATTTTGTTGAGGATTTCAGTGTCTATGTTCATCAGTGATATTGACCTTACTTTTCTTTTATTGTTGTGTCTTTATCTTGTTTTGGGATTAGGATGATGCTGCCTTCATAAAAAGAATTTGGGAGTCTTCCATCATCTTGGATTTTTTGGAATAGTATCTGTAAAGGATAGCTCTTCCTTAAGTACTTTGTAAAATTCTCTTGAGAATTTTACAGTCCAGTCCAAGTCCAGTCCAGGGCTTTTGTGTGTTGGGAGTTTTTTGATTACTGCTTCAATTTCTTTTGTTGTTATTGGTCTGTTCAGGCTTTTTGCTTCTTTTTCACTGAGTTTTGGAAGATTATATTTTTCTAGAAATTTGTCCATTTCACCTAGGTTTTCAAATTTCTTGGCATACAGTTCTTTGTAGTAACTTCTTACAATCCTTTGTATTTCTGTGGTATCAGTTGTATCTCTCCTCTTTCATTTCTGGGTTTATTTGGGTCTTCTCTCTTTTTTTCTTGATGAATCTGGTTCAAGGCTTGTCAATTTACCTTTTCAAAGAACCAGCTCCTGGATTGATTGATCCTTAGAATTGTGCTTTTAGCCTCTATGTTGTTTAATTCTGCCCTGATCTTGCTTATTTCCTTCCTTCTCCTTGCTCTGGGCTATCTTTGTTGTTGTTCCTCCAGCTCTTGTATGTGTAGGGTTAGATTGTTTATTTGAAATGTTTCTATCATTTTTAGGTAGGCCTGTATGTCTATGATTATCCCTCTCAGGACTGTCTTTGCTGTGTCCCATAAGTTTTGGATTGTTGTGAGTTCATTTTCATTTGTTACTAGGAAGTTTTATTTCTTCCTTGATCTCATTCTTGATCCATTCATTGTTTAATAGCGTACTATTCAATCTCCATGAATTTGAGTGTTTTTGAGTTTTTTCTTTGAGGTTGGTTTCTAGCTTTAGTCCCTTGTGGTCAGAAAAAAAAATGCTTGATATGATTTCAATTTTCTTGAATTTGTTGGGACCTGTTTTGTGACCTATCATGTGGTCTATCTTTGAAAATGTTCCATGTAAATTTGAAAAAAAAATGTGTATTTTGCCTCTTTGGGATGAAAGGCTCTATATATATCAGTTAAGTTCATTTGATCTAGGACATTGTTGAATGCCACAATATCTTTGTTGATATTTTGTTTGGAAGATCTGTCCATTTTTGAAAGTGG